TTTCTGGGTAGCCTATATAATTTTTTTTTGTTGCTATAGAATGTTTAAAACTATCATTTGTTATTTTTCTTCAAGCACAATTCAAATAGTTTGTCATCATTTTTTTATATAAATAAAATGGATTAAAACTATTTTCTTATATAATTTTTTTAATCATATGAATTCTTATTTTGATTTATTTTTGTAAAATACAGTAGGAACTATGCAAGTATTATTGAAACTATGCAAGTATTATTGAAACTATGGAGAAAATAATTGTGGAGCAAGAATGGTACTTGGATATAATATGCATGGGTCATTAATAGAAGAGATCAAAGACAGAGAGTTGTTAACAAGATCAATTGATGGTTTATTCATTTGTTTGAGAATTTTTTATTTTTTTTATTTTTTTATGGACAAGACAACAAACTCAGATTAAAAAATTAAAAAAACTAATTAAAATTATAATGAGAAGTTAAAACATAATTTAAGATTAAGATCATTTATTTATCACACAATATATATAATCTATTTTTCTGTTCATCGCAAGAGTTACCGTTAGTAATACATAATCAAAAGTATACATGAAGCTCAAATATTATAACAATCATGACATCATTTACACGGTATCGAACGCAAGACATCAAATATCAAAGTTGGTAATTAGGTTGACTGAATGCTATTCAACCATGTGAGGATCGAGAAGTCAAGGAACACTAAAAGGGAAAAAATGAATTTTTTTTTTTCAGCCGTGCTACCGACCCCTAGCTGGGGGCACTCCCAGTGACCCCCCAGTGACAGGTGGCACGCTGCCAGTAGCTGGAATCTAAAAAAAAAATTGACCAATCACCAATGACCCCCAGCACCTCCACTGGAGGTCTAAGTCATTTTTCTTTTTTCTTTTTCCAACAAACTAGGGCATTGGATCACCGTGTTTGATTACCCTTCAATTCTGGAGGAGATAGAGAGAAAAAAAAATGCATACAATTTTTTCAACAAACTAAGTCATGGGATCACCGTGTTTGATCATGTTTTATTTTCAAAGCAAATTGACTATCAATATATTTTAATTGAGGAGTAAGAGATTGTTATCATTTTGAGTATTATAAAATTATATGTGTTGAATAAAGCTTAAGGCAAAGTAACCCTAAAAAATATTAATTTAACAGCAATATTATGAACTTAAAAAATTTATTCAAAAAATACTTAGAAAATAGAGTGTATAGTTATAATTTGTTTCACGTGTAAATCCCACCATACAATAATAGGATCTAGACCGCATATAATGTTCGGGAGAATTATTTATTTATTTATTTATTTTTATAATTTTTCACGGTTCCTAGCTTTTCTGTTAATTTAAATTGAGTATTTTTTTTTTTTTTAACACAAAGCTCTTGAAGCCCTCTACCTTATTCTCAAAGACACTAGGGTCAAGAACTCAATGAATGTAGATGAAACCTTAAAGAGAAGGCGACTTCTAGAGAGAGAGATTGCAGATTTAGGGTTTGTGGGTGAAAAGAGATCAAAAATGAAGCCAAAACAGTGCTGCTGTGAACTGATGTATACCATGCTCGCTCAAGCGATAGAGTGCTCGCTCGAGCGACCAGACACAAAAAGGTTGCCTGGCTCGAGCAAAGGAAGTGTCGCTCGAGCGTAGAATGCAAAGCTTCAAGTCTACCACCCAACGCAGACGCACGCTCGAGCGCAAGAAGCCTTACTCGAGCGAAGAAACATTTACACTAGGGGTGGGCGCGGGTCGGTTGCGGCCACAAAACCTTCAATCCGCCATCCGTCCGCCAGATTGGCGGATTGGAAAAAATCAATCCGCATCCGTCCACCAATCCGGCGGATGTGGATTGAGCGGATTGGCGGTTTGGCAGATGGATGCGAATTGGTTTGGCGGTTTGGAATTTTATAAATTTTTAACATAGTTCAACTTGTGCACTTCCTCAAAAAAAAAAGAAGAGAATATTACAGTCAATGACTTAAAAAAGAATTACAATTACTGCATGCCTCATCTAACGAAAAAAAGTTTGAAACTTTAGAATATCACAATCACTGCATGTCTCATTCACATATTACAATCACAGCATGCCTCATCCATATAAAATATTACAATCTGTAGTTCTTAAAATATAAAAAAAATTCAAACCACCAAAACCATGAATAGAGCAATAGTAGAGATTATATGTCTCTGTATTGTTACATTTATATATGTTTTTGAAAATAAAAACCAACCAACATATATCATATTTTCTATTTATTACTTTTAGAGTTAGATTTAAAAATAAAAAAAATATAGATAAATAATACGTTTATTTTTTTCAATTCAAAAAATATATTCAAGTTAAAAAAAAAATTCAACAGAATATTTGAGCTCTTTTTCAATTGAAAACACAAATAAAATATTTAAACAAATTGAAAACACAAAGTTTTAAAAATTATTAAGGGTGCTCGCGGTTTGGCGGTTCGGTTGCGGCCAAAGGAACCTTAAATCCGCCATCCGTCCGCCAAATTGGCGAATTGAAGAAAATCAATCCGCAACCGTCCGCTCGTCATCACGCATCCGTCCAAAATGCGGCGGATCGGTTCGGTTCGGTCGGTTTTGGCGGATCGGTATATCCGCTGCTCACCCCTAAAGTGAAGGTATGCTAATTGGGCTTTTTTTTACCACTATTCTTGTATTGGAAAAGTGAATTGGAAGTTGTATTATATATATATACTAGTTTACACAGCCCCGTGTTGGACACATGTTATTATTACAGTATATTTAAATTTTATATTTGATAATTTTTCAAAAATTAAAATATTATTCTATGAAATTAAATAGAATAAATCATTAGATATGTGATAGAATTATGCAGTATGATATGCATCATTTTTTGATTTGTTATACAGCCAATGATGTCAACTCCAATTCTATTATCATATCATTTTGGGTGAATTTATGAGTCTTTAATACTTCTTCCGAATTTATAAAATAAAATAAAAAATATATGTTGTGTAATTTTTCTCAACAAATAAATATTAAGATAATTCTTCTATCTAAAAAAAAAACTATTAAGATAAGTCATTGAACTAATAAAGAAGCAGAAGAAAATACATATATATATATATATATATACAAATGACTAATTTTATTAATACATAAATCATACTAGCATAACAAATTATCAATTTTATTAATAAGTAAATCATTAAGTAAATTAATAATTTTTAATGATATGAAAATTATTTTTCTGTTAACCATTTTGTTAATAAATAAATCATTAAATCAACTAACAATTTTTAATGATATGAGAAATATTTTTCAATAAATAAATCATTAAATCAACTAACAATTTTTAATTATATGAGAAATATTTTTCAATAAACAATCTTAATAATTTATTATTGCATAGGAGAATAATTTTTTTTCCCCTTGAGTATTGTGTTAAATTAAAATTTACAACAAATAATAGTTGTAATTTCTAATATTATAGGACTGATTCATATTTTAAACAAACTTTATGGGTGTATTTGTACTTTGTTAAAAAATAAAAAATTTATTTTTTATAATTGACCAAGAATGTTTGCGTAATTATGAAAAAAAACCATATTATATAATTGACTAAGAATATTTACATAATTGTGAAAAAACTTTCACTCAATATAAAGGTCATCATTAATAAATTATTCAAAATAAAAGGATAAAATGAATAATAAAAAAAAAGAAGACGAATCTCAAGTAACTACGCAGTTGTTATATATATATAAATGATCTTTTAAAAAAAATTGTCTAGCGTAATTGATTTTGAGCTTTCTTTTTAAATGAATGCTTTTACAATTTTAGTAAAGTAGAAGACTAAACATGACACCTGGTTAACAGAAGTGAAATGAAATGAAATGGAATGATGATTATTTGTAATTTTATTTGCATTTGTATAAAATGACATTTACTTGTAATGGTGAATGGTATTTTATTTGTAATTTAATTTTTATTATTTTTTGTTAAATCAAAAGTTAAAATGAATATTTTGATGAAATTATCATTTTATTTCACTATCATTCTAAAGAATTAAATACTAAAAAGTCTTTATTTTTATTTTTTTATTTTTGATAAATTTTATATATATTTTTTGTGTAGGGGGCCGAGCCCAACATAGTTCTGCTCCTGGCCATATCAATGATAGGAAATTCACATGGCTTACGACGGAAAGAGTAATGCTATATAATTAAAACTTTTAACAAAAATTCAATATACAGAATGATATGTCATTTTATGATTTTTTTCATTTCAAACTAAAATACTCACTATTATGCCTTATAATTAGAAACATACCACTTCCACACTATTTTAGATGCACTTTATATATCTAAATTTTATTTGTAAATCACTCTGAGTGCAATGCCTCGAAATAAATACAATAACTCATCCATAATAGTAATTTCATAATAACATGCGATGAAATAATTATCTTTCATTTATTCTGATTTTTTGTGACATTTACTTGTAATGGTGAATGGTATTTTATTTGTAATTTAATTTTTATTATTTTTTGTTAAATCAAAAATAGAAATGAATATTTTGATGGAATTATCATTTTATTTCACTATTATTCTAAAGAATCAAATACTAAAAGGTCTTTATTTTTATTTTTTTATTTTTGATAAATTTTATATATATATATTTTGTGTAGGGGGCGAGCCCAACATGGTTCTGCTCCTGACCATATCAATGATAGGAAATTCACATGGCTTATGACGGAAAGAGTAATGCTATATAAATAAAACTTTTAACAAAAATTCTATATACAGAATGATATGGCATTTTATGATTTTTTCATTTCAAACTAAAATACTCACTATTATGCTTTATAATTAGAAACATACCACTTTCACACCATTTTAGATGCACTTTATATGTATAAATTTTATTTGTAAATCACTCTGAGTGTAATGCCTCGAAATAAATACAATAACTCATCCACAATATTAATTTCATAATAACATGCGATGAAATAATTATCTTTTATTTATTCTGATTTTTTATACAAAAAGGTGACCTACACAGATATAAATTCATAAGTCTAACCCTGAATCTATACCATATGTTACAACAAGAGGAAAGATGTGAAAGTAAAAACAGATAATAAATGCTCTAAACGCTTACAACTTTCCAAGACAGTTATCGACTACAGCAAAAGTGAAATTTCAAGTCCAATACAATTAAAGGCCCTTGACTTGTACAAAACATACATAAAAGAACCAACAAAATAAAGCTCTTGCTCCAAGTCTTCTCAAGCTATTGTCTTGACAGAGACATATCATCAGCACCTAAAATGCTTTCTCACATAGGGTGAGCCAAAACCCATTAGAAATAATCCAACACAATATATAAATTTTAACAAAGGTATAAGGTGAATGTATATGCAATGCTTGTGCCAAAACATTTAACATCTCTTTCCAAAACTATGCAATGCTATGTTGATATCATAATTCATAAATCATTTTCTTCACAATAAAAAATAGGGCAGTGAATCATACTCTGGGAATCTCAAAAACAATACAACCTTTCACAGAAATTTCGTCTGCGGGAAACCGTAAACCGACACCCATGTAAACGTAGACTTTACAAACACTACTATTGTCATTTTACGGATATTTCGTCCGTGAGATCGGCACCCATATATACGCGCGGTTTTTAAGACTTTCACCATAGACACTAGGGCCAACTTATTTCAACTAAATAATACATATTTGCCAGATTCACCCATTTTTCTCAAAACGATAAATATTTTCGAAGTATAAGTGTGAGATAATGCTCAATGAAATTGAATGAGAAAATAGTTTCAATTTTCTTAATTTCCATGCAATTTCTACAACAATCATAGTTATCTTCTATCGATAGCTCCAAATAGATATTTCTAAACAGATACATAATTCTCATTAAAGATAAACTTTTCAAATTTTCAAGATATGATGATAATAAATATCCAACTCCGCCATTCTCATCAAAACCAATCCAATTTCATATTCCCCACATCAATTCCATAATTTATATAAAATCAGCATTTAACATAATTAGGACAAAACCCCATTTTCTTCTAAAATCAATTCTACACAACGAAACCAACTATTTTATCACAACTCAAATCTCATTTTCAATTCTACAACCATTTCCAAGAATCCATTGTAAATACCCCTCTTTTGATCTTTAACCCAAAACCCTAGATTTGTTTCAAAAATCCCCCAAATCACAATATTGTTTAAAAATCGCAAATAACTAAGTTAAAACTCATAGAAGGTGAGAAGAATCCCTGCATCAAGCTTAGACAACAAGAGAGAGAGAATGGAGATACTTCAAAAATGTCGAAACCCAACTTTGTTCGGATCAAATGGAAACCCACGGCGTGCTCTACCCTTTTAACAAAGGGGCACGGGTAAGGAATTCGACGGATCTAGGTGTATTTGAGTGAAATAGATGAGTTTTAGAGAGAGAGAGAGAGAGACTAAGAGAAAATAGGATTTTGAAATGTTTAGAGAGAGAGAGCTGAAAAAATGACTCAGAAAAGTGACTTTACGAACTGATATACATGCAAATGCTCGAGTGCGAGAAGTGTCGCTTAAGCGACCAGACACAATATGTTGCACCACTCGAGCACAAGAAGCTTCACTCGAGCGAAAAATACAAACTGTCAGAAATTTTACAGACAGAAGACGAACGCTTGAGCGCAATAAGAGCCATTCGAGCCAACACCGCTCGAGCGCCAAAAGCTTCTCTCGAGCATAGAATACCACTTCTCAGTAGTTTTGCAGACCTACAAAAGTACTGAGAGTTCACAAAGATCGCTTGAGCATAAGAAGTGACTCTCAAGCGAAGGAACAAAATTTTGGACAACAGTTTAAAAGAAAACAAGCTACCAACCTGTTCCAAATGCAACCAACACAGCCCAATAGCCAAACTCAAAGAGAAATAGGGGAAACAAGAAAAGAACAACTATATAAGGAAATGTAACCCAGATCCAAAACATCAAATGGGTCGAGTCTAAAACAAAATCGCTATACTGAGAGAATAATTACCATCATGGTGTATTTAAAAAATATTTAGAATTTGAAATGTGCTTTTCTTGGCTTTCGATTGTTCTCCCTTCTCCCTCTTTTGTAATGCTTTATACCATTAATAAAATATCACTTTATTTTGCTGAGAAAAAAATTACATTTTGTCACACTAAACTAAATTTATATCTATACTGTGTATTTAAAATTTTAGATAATTAATTTCGATCATATTTCTAGGTACATAATATATGAAATAAAATTAGGGATAAAAATAAGATTCTTAGTTGTCGTTTAATAACGTTATCAATTTATTTATGATATTAGAATACAAAAAAAAAATACAAAACAAGTCTTTGTGCATTTTTATTTTGTAAAAAATATAAACAAAAAATTGTTTGGTGTACGTAAACATTTCAAAAATAAATGAAAATAAAAATAAAGAAACATTTTTTTTTTTATCGGCAAAAAGAAAGATTTATTGATGCATCAATTTGTGAAAACAGAGAGGAGAGGCACAACAACAAAACAAAGCATGCGAAGGGGGAAGCATCAAGCATTAAAATGGATCCCAACAAGGTTGGCACCCAACAAAAAGTAAGAACGAAGTAGCCCAAAGCATGAGATACAAGGAAAAGAAGGGAACATGCCAGATAAAGCCCTAGAGAAAACCCATAAAAATAATCTGAAAGAAATAAACTGAAAGTAAACAAAATAGAGAAACTAAAAAAACATAAAAGCTTATCTCCTCTTCTTTGCTTTGATCTTCTGAATGTGTTGAATATGGAGAACAAAGTCTTGGACTGAAAAGCCAGTGAAACTCGAGTTCAATTTTGTCCATAAGGCTAAATGAATTTTAATTTCATCCACTAAATTATCCAGATTAGGTTGGATGCCATTGAATATTAGAGAGTTCCTGCTAGCCATAAATTCCAACATACGCATGAGAACAAAGCCAACCAGATGATTTTCTTTAGACTTTTGAACCGAAATCCTGACCGCCAAGAGAAAAGTGACTCCAAGGAATGAGGACAAATCCAATCCATACCCTACCATGAGAGTAATGCAGATCACACACTCCATGAAAAGTGGTAGAGGATAAGAAGATGGTCTGATGATGCCAAGGTATCATGGCAGAAAACACAGAAGCTGTCAACATCTAGAGGTAAAATGTGCCTTCGAATTAGTAGGTCACAAGTGGCAATTCTACCTTGCAACAATAACCAACTAAAAATTCTTACTTTTGGTGGGGCCACAGATTTCCAAATGGCCTGAAAGTTACCTTCAACAATAGAAAGTGATGATTTATACCGATGACATAAAGATTTTACTGAAAACCAAACAGAATTTTCTAGTTTCCAAACAATCTTATCCTGAAGCTTAGGGTGAGGAAGGGAGTTAATGAGTAAAGAAGTTAATTGGCATAGAGACTCTGATTCCCAAGCACGAAGGCTTCGGCTGAATTGCAAATTCCAAAGAGGACCTGACAAATAGAATAAGAAGATTTTTCTATAAAGCAATCTTGCTGAGAGGACAAGAAGAATAGTCTTGAGAAGGATTCTGAGAGGGAAGCATTGTTGAGCCAAGAGTCAGTCCAGAATAAAATGTCAACTTCATAACCAAGTTTGAGAATCAAATTATTAAAGGAAAAATGTTTGGGCTCTTCATTTTTTAAATTGAATGGTAGAATACCTTCCTACAAGCCTGAGTAGGAGGTAGAAAGAGATCGTATACGTGCTTGAGTTATAGCGATTCTGGTTTTGACCCGTCACTTGTTGCATTCTGGACTCGGGTTTGTATGGTTTTGAATGGTGATTCATATCTTGTTTTCCTTGTCTCCTCTCTATTTTGGTTATTGGATTTTAGTTGTACGTGTAAAACATGTTGGTTGCTTGTTTATCCAAACCTTTGTTGCCCAGATTTTTGCTTCTTTGCTCGAGTGGCCATTCTTGTGCTCGAGCGGGCTTTGTAATCTTTGCTCCTCCGCTCGAGCGGCCTTTCTTGCGCTTGAGCGGACTTTACAAACTCTTAGTACTTTGCAAGTTTGCAAAACTACTAAGACAGTGATTTCTACGCTCGAGCGGGTGGGTGCTCGAGCGGCCTTTTCCTGCGCTCAAGCATTGGTTTATTGTCTGCAAAACTTCTGGATGTGTGTTTTCTACGCTCGAGCGATGAATTCTTGCGCTCGAGCGGTGAGCGTTCGTTGTGTCTTGGCACTCGAGCGGCCTTCATCGAGCTCGAGCAGAATAACTTTTTTGTGTCTGATGCTCGAGTGTCAACTTTTCCGGTCGAGCAGACTGTGCGTCTATCAGATTGCGAAAATGACAGTTTATATCACTTTTTCACTCTTTTCTCTCTCTCTAAAACTTTCCAAAAACCTAGATCTTGACTCTCTCTCTCTCTCTCTACAGTTTGGCCTAGATCCTTTGGGTTCTCTACCCCATTGTCTTTGTGAAAAAGTTAGAGCATTCCAAGAGCTTCATTTTGATCCGATTGGAACCTGGTCTCAGCATTGTTGAGGGTTCTACTTTGCTTTGTCTGGTCTTCTCTTCTTGAGGTAGGGATTTTTTACACTCTAATATAGTTTTTAACTTAGTTATTCTTCGTTTTGTAACAATTGTGGGATTTGGGGGAAATGTGAACAAACCTAGGGTTTGGGTGTAAAATGGAAAGAGGGGTTTTTTGGTGAATGAGAGGAAAATGATTGTGGGGTTTGAAAATGATGTGGTATGGTGTCAAAATTGTTGATTTTGGTACATGGTTGAAACTTGGGAAAAGAAGGGAGTTTTCCCTAAAATGATTATGATATTTATTTTGTATAAATAAATGAAATTAGTGTTGTAAACATGAAATTGGACGAGTATTAAAGTACATGGTGGAATTAAGTAGATGGTACGTCTCATCTTTCAAAATTTTTGAATAAATCATATATCTTGAGATTGTATATCTATTTAGAAATAACTGTATTGGGCTATCGGTGGAGGATAGTTATGATTGTTGTAGAAATTGCATAAAGATTAAGTGAATTAAAAATAATCCATGGTTGGTTATCATTGAATATGATCATGATGTAAATACATTGTATATGTATGATTGTTTGAGAGGAAAAAGGGGATGTACTCGATGTATGATTATGTGTTTAAATACATTGTATATGTATGATTGTTTGGGTGGAGAAAATAGATGTACTCCATTGTTTGGGAGGAGAAAGGGGATGAACTCCATTATAATTAAGTTGGCCGGAGTGTCCTGGGTGAAAGTCTGGAAATTTATACATGGGTGCCGATCCTGCGGACGAAATTTCTATAAAATGACAGATTGAAGTGTTTGTGTGTTAATGGTGTGATTGTAGAACCACTGAGTTGTAGTCTCATTTGGATTATTGAAAAATAATGAAATGGGCTCATGTATTGAAATGAATTGGAGGGGAATGAAATGAAATATGGACTTGGTATTCAATGACTATATAAAAATGTGAATATTTTACCCCTGGCATTGTATAGGCACATTGCACTTATATCTTCGTTAAATCTCATATATTGTGTTAGATTATTTCTACTGGGCTGTGGCTCACCCTATTTGGAGAAAACTATTTTTAGGTGCTGGTGACATGCCTCCACCAAGGTAATAGCATTAGAGGGACTCTCGGGGGAGCATGAGCTTCTTTGTTTTGTTTCACTTTTTGTATAGCCTAGGGCTTTAATTGTATGAGCTAGTCTCACTTTTGTTGGAACCAAGCCAAGACTTGGAAAGGTGTAAGCCTAAAGAGAATTTATTTATGCTAAACTCTTCTATACTATTAATATTATGAAATGAACGAACTTTACATTCTGATTCATGCTGTTATTCATATATATTTGGGTTGAACTTATGGTTATATTTTGGGGGCATAACATGAGTGAAGTCCATATTTCTAGACAATGACATTTCTCCATAGAGACTTCTTTTCTTATCCAAACCACCACCACCATTTGGCAAGAACATAAGCATTTTTTATCTTTAGAGAAGGGACACCTAACCCCCCTCCCCCCCGTGCGTCAGCCTTTTTGTAACAACATTCCATTGCGCTAGATGAGGTTTGCGTTTGCCATCACTATCACCCCGAAGAAATTGCCTCTGTAATATTTCAGGCTCACTATAGATTGATTCTGCTAACTTGAAGAGTGACATATAATAGATAGGTAGATTGGAGAGGGTAGCTTTTAAGAGAGTGAGCCTACCTCCTAATGAGAGGTGTCTTATTTTCTAGAGGATCAATTGAGAGCTAAATCTTTACCACTGGTTGCCAAGCACTAAGAGATCTTGGATTAAAATCGATTAGGAGGCCCAAGAAAGATAAAGGTAAAGTTAAAATTTTACAACAAAGTATGCTTGTTGCCTGTGCCAAGAATGCATCATTAACTCCAACTCCTACCAAAGAGCTCTTGGAGTAGTTAATTTTCCGACCAAAGATACTCTCGAAGTTGAAAAGCACACTTTTGATTTTTCTATTCTCAATCAAGTTGGGATTTGCAACAATCATGGTGTGATCTGCAAATCGAAGATGGAAAGTAACAAGGCCCTCTTGCCCAATGGCTACTCCTTGGATGAGAGAGGTTTGCCTTGCCTTTTGGAATAGACAATTGAGGCCTTTAGCCACAATAAGAAATAAGAAAAGAAAAGGGGGTCTCCTTGTCTAAGTCCCCTCGACATTTGAAATTAAGCTGATACTGACCCGTTAATTAGAACAAAAACATATGCAGAGGAAACACATTCTTTAATCCAAGCAATCCATTTTGGGTTAAACTCCATCAAATCCGTAATGTGAAACAGATAGTTCTAATTGACTAAATCGAAGGCCTTTTCAAAATCAATTTTCATAATAATACCTTTAGATTTTTGCTTTTTCCACATGTTGATGACCTTATTTGCAATAAGGATATCGTCAAGAATTTGCCTTCCCTTTACAAAAGTTGTTTGACATTCACTGAGGATCTCGTGGATTACTAACTTGAGTCTATTAGCAAGGGTTTTTTCAAGAATTTTGTAGGTTGAACTAATGAGACTGATTGGTCTGTAGTTGAGAAGAGAGTTTGGAACCTCAGCTTTAGGCACAAGAACGATGAATGAAGAATTTTAATTATTTAGCAAGTTCACCGTGTTGGTGAAACTCGTTAATGAATCGCATGATGTCACTTCGCATTCAGGGCTAGAACTTTTTGAAGAAATTAAAGTTAAACCCATCAAGCCCCGGGACTTTATTACCAACACATCCCCAAATTACAGACTTTACTTTGGAGGTTAAAAATGGTGCTACTAACATACTTGAGTTGGGAACAAAGAGTTTCAGCACTAAGGCCTCGTTTGGGAACAGGCTAATTTAGTAACTTTTTGGCTATTTAGCTAAAAAGGTAGGTAAAAAAAACTTGTATGTTTGGAATGACTTTTTGGCTAATTACGAAAAGATGTGCAAAAAGTAGAGAGAAAAGAGAATCTTTGACTTTTTGGTATGAGTTGTTGGCTTTTTGACTAATTTAATAACTTTTTGACTAATTGACTAAAAAAGTAAGTCCCCAAACAGGGCCTAAGTTACCTCTTAGAAGGGGGCGACACACTCGGGGGTTTAAAGAATAAATTTAAGAAGAAGGAAACAGCTTCAAACTTCATTTCATCAAGAGAATGAATAAGGCGATTCCCCACATAAAGATGCCCAATAAAGTTCTTGCGAAATATCCTCTTCATTAACTTATGGAAGAAAGACAAATTTTTATCTCCAAACTGAAGCCAAATCACCCTAGATTTTTGTCTAACGAGTTACTCCTCTATACTGTGAGCTTCCCACATATTGACTAACAGGGATCTTCTATGCACTTGTTAAGAGGAAGAATTGTCGTTATCTTCCAAGTGAAGATCCAGTTTATGTAAATCACCTTCAATAAGTGAAATTCGATTATACACGTTGCCATAAAACATTGTCGTTCCACTCTTTGATACACTATTTCAGATGGTGGAGTTTATGAGATATAACAACCATTCACTGGAAAATCTTTCCATTCCTTCTCAACCAGCTTGATTAGAGAGGTGTTTTGAATCAAAGCATCAAAAAACTTAAACAATTTTAGGTCTCAATCCAAAGTTTCATCATATACAAGGATAGAACTGTGGTCAGATAAACACCTCGGCAATCCCTATTGACTAAAGGAACAAGGGTCAGGCCAGGAGGAGGATACAAGAAAACAATCAAGTCTGCAACATTTTTCCACTGATTGCTTATTAGACCAAGTAAATTTTCTACCAAGAAGAGGAAGATCAACCAGATCCATATTGTGAATAAATGTGTTAAACTCAATCATACCTTTATTATGACAAAGGGGGCCTTTTTTTTTCACTGATACGACAAACTTCATTGAAATCTCCTCCAATAATCCATGGGCACGGAAAGAGAGGTTCAAGAGCCAAAAGCTCTGCCCATAAGGCAGACTGCTCAATTTCATCATAATAGATCACCAAGAGACCAAGTGAAGGAATTGTTTCCCACTGAAAATCACCTTTCCCCCAACTAATACGAACGGTTTTTTTTTGGAAACAGATTATAGTTTCGAATCCTGAATAAAAATGACATCAACATGACGAGAGGCCGTAATGGATCTGACCATACTCTTCTTTTCAGACCTCCTAATCCCTCTCATGTTCTAAGAGAGGATCTTCATATCACCTTCTTGGAAGACTTCTAAAGTTGAGATTTATTAATCATCTCCATTTCAATGAAATCATTGAAGAGAACCTCTTCTTCAACTGGAAGATCGAATCCCAGGATTTTGGCAGCTTCCAAAGCATTCTCAGCATGCTTATGAGGAAGTGACTGTGGAACAGAGTCAGAATCGTCATTGAACCTACGATTTCAATTTCGAATGGCACTGGATTTGATTGAGGATTGGGATAGGGATTTGGATTAGGAAGGGTTTCAGGTTTGTAGTTCCTACTAAGCCTTGGAGAGTTTGAGAGGGAGCCCTAGGTCAACCAACTCTTCCTTAGGCTTTAGTTTGGGCTAGATAGCTTTCTTAATGATGGTCGTCTTGGTTAGAAGGGTTGGAATGGGAATAACTGATGTGTTTGAAGAGATTGGGCTAATGGGTTTTGGCATGGGAGAGACTGATCGGCCTAGGGAAATAATGGGTTTAGAAATGGGAGGGGTTGATGGGCCTGGTAAACAAGAGTTAATGGGTTCAGGGTGAGGCATATCAAGAGGTGGCTTGGAGTTGATAATGGATAAAGCATTTGAAAATGGGCCCACATTCTCTCGAGACACAAAGCCAACGGTAAGTGGGGGGAAAAGAGGCACTTATGTGGGAAAGAGAAAAGTCTTAAGAGAGGGCGTCTCTAGGTTGAGCATCTAGGGAAGAGTTTTTGTCATTATTGACAACAATAAGTGGTTCTAGTTTAGAGGATTCTTCAGGTGACACATGGGACAAAAAGGAGTCGTCCATGTGGCTGATAAGCGCTATCTCACTTGCCATGGAGGTAGCACCCAGAATAGACAAATCAGCAATTTTGTCGATCAGAGGGATAACGATTTCGCCTGTAATGCCCCAAAATAAAAACAATGATCTGCTTCATGATATTCAAAGGAAAAACATAAACTCACATAATATTAGCCTTCCATTGATATCCTTTTATCATACAAAAGATGACATATGTATGTATACATTCATAAATGCTATATCCTAAATCTATAGCGTATGACATGTGTGAGTGAACTGGGACAAAAGAAAGTACTGTTAGGTCCCTTAGTCTTGTCAATCCCGCGAACAAACTTGTGTGATTGAGTTGTAAATTTCCTTGCTGTTTTGTCTTGCTCGCTCGAGCGAAGACTGGGTCTGGCAAAAACCTGAGAAAGGTGAATGTATGCTCAAGCGCAGGTTGTGTGGCTCGAGCGAAGCCACTTATGGAAATCACGCGAGATGAATTCCTCGCTCGAGCGAAAAAAGCTTCGCTCGAGCGAGCTGCGCTGTTCCAGATTTCTATAAATATTTGTTTTAATCCCAAACTAGGATTAGGTTTTTAAGATCTACTTTGAGGTTGTTTAAGGTTTTCTTCTGGAGTATTTTTGTGAGTTTTCCTTGATAATTTGAGTGAGTATTAAACTCATGAATTGATAAGCACATATCAAGGAGGTTGAGTAATTATATACAAGAGTGTTCTTCTTCGGTGGAATCCGGAGATTCAAACGTGGAGTTTCAAAGGAGTTTGATTCTGTACGTAGTCGTTAATTCGACAAGTGAAGTTGTGGATTCAACTTCAGAATAATCAATTCCGAGACAAAGGCTTGTTGAAAGAGTTACAGAAGGTTCGAAGACAAATTGTATGAGTTTGGTAATTTATTTGTTATCTTTGTAATCTTTCTTTCTTCAGTAGTGGATTGATTAGTGGCATTTTGCCCGTGGTTTTTTTATTACAATTGAACGTGCTTCAATTGTGGTTTTTCCACGTAAAAATTGTTTGTGTCGATTTATTATTTATTTTGAAAACAACAATCTAAATCACTTTTACAAGTGCTTAATGATTTAGATTGTGTATTTTGATTGATTGGGAATTGGAATATTTAAATCTTGATCTAATCACAAATCACTTAGGATTTTCAATTGGTATTAGAACAGGTCCCTTTTTGTTTTTTATCAAAACTATAGGACTGTGATTTTGTGTGATTGGTGATATGGATTCAATTCGTGAAGGTAACTCGACCCATAGACCTCCGTTACTTGATGGTACAAACTATTCTTATTGGAAAGCTCATATGAGAGCATTTTTAAAATCCATCGATGAGAAAGTTTGGCACCGTGTGCTCTATGGGTGGAGTGAACCTACTGTCACCATTGATGGTATTGAGATTCTTAAACCCCTTGATAAATGGGACACAACCTATTATCAAAACTCGAGTTGGAACAGCAAGGCTCTGAATTCCCTTTTTTGCTCCGTCACACTTGAAGAGTTTCGTCGTATCTGCATGCGTGAGGTAACAAAAGAGGCTTGGGACATTCTTGAAACGATTCACGAAGGTACTATTTCTGTCAGAAGGTCAAAACTTCAACGTCTCACCTCTGCCTTTGAAACCCTTTTTATGCATGATGATGAGACGTTTGATGATTTCTATGCTAAACTTAGTGACATTGTGAATTCTTGTTTCACACTCGGTGAAAAAATCCCTAAAGCTAAAGTTGTTGAAAAAATTTTGAGGTCATTACCCGAAAAGTTTCAATCAAAAGTGACAGCCATTGAGGAGGCTCAAAATGTTGATACCCTCAAGCTTGATCAATTGGTTGGAAACCTGCAGACTTATGAAGCCCACCAGATTTTTAAGAAAAAACAAAAAGAAGTGGCTTTCACTAGTGCTCATGAGACTGTAAAAACTCCTGAGACTGAGTTTGATTGAGAGTCTGAGATGATGACTATGTAAATCACCTTCAATAAGTGAAATTCGATTATACACGTTGCCATAAAACATTGGCATTCCACTCTTTGATACACTATTTCAGATGGTGGAGTTTACGAGATATAACAACCATTCACTAGAAAATCTTTCCATTCCTTCTCAACCAGCTTGATTAGAGAGGTGTTTTGAATCAAAGCATCAAAAAACTTAAACAATTTTAGGTCCCAATCCAAAGTTTCATCATATACAAGGATAGAACTGTGGTCAGATAAACACCTTGGCAATCCCTATTGACTAAAGGAACAAGGGTCAAGCCAGGAGGAGGATACAAGAAAACAATCAAGTCTGCAACATTTTTCCACTGATTGCTTATTAGACCAAGTAAATTTTCTACCAAGAAGAGGAAGATCAACCAGATCCATATTGTGAATAAATGTGTTAAACTCAATCATACCTTTATTATGACAAAGGCAGCCTTTTTTTTTCACTGATACGACAAACTCCATTGAAATCTCCTCCAATAATCCATGGGCACGGAAAGAGAGGTTCAAGAGCCAAAAGCTCTGCCCATAAGGCAAACTGCTCAATTTCATCATAATAGATCACCAAGAGACCAAGTGAAGGAATTGTTTCCCACTGAAAATCACCTTTCCCCCAAATAATACGAACGGTTTTTTTTGGGAAACAAGATTATAGTTTCGAATCCTGAATAAAAATGACATCAACATGACGAGAGGCCGTAATGGATCTGACCATACTCTTCTTTTCAGACCTCCTAATCCCTCTCATGTTCTAAGAGAGGATCTTCATATCACCTTCTTGGAAGACTTCTAAAGTTGAGATTTATTAATCATCTCCATTTCAATGAAATCATTGAAGAGAACCTCTTCTTCAACTGGGAGATGGAATCCCAGGATTTTGGTAGCTTCCAAAGCATTCTCAGCACGCTTATGAGGAAGTGACTGTGGAACAGAGTCAGAATCGTCATTGAACCTACGATTTCAATTTCTAATGGCACTGGATTTGATTGAGGATTGGGATAGGGATTTGGATTAGGGAGGGTTTCAGGTTTGTAGTTCCTACTAAGCCTTGGAGAGTTTGAGAGGGAGCCCTAGGTCAACCAACTCTTTCTTAGGCTTTAGTTTGGGCTAGATAGCTTTCTTAATGATGGTCGTCTTGGTTAGAAGGGTTGGAATGGGAATAACCGATGTGTTTGAAGAGGTTGGGCTAATGGGTTTTGGCATGGGAGAGACTGATCGGCCTAGGGAAATAATGGGTTTAGAAATGGGAGGGGTTGATGGACCTGGTAAATAAGAGTTAATGGGTTCAGGGTGAGGCATATCAAGAGGTGGCTTGGAGTTGATAATGGATAAAGCATTTGAAAATGGGCCCACATTCTCTCGAGACACAAAGCCAACGGTAAGTGGGGGGGGAAAGAGGCACTTTTGGGGAAAGAGAAAAGTCTTAAGAGAGGGCGTCTCTAGGTTGAGCATCTAGGGAAGAGCTTTTGTCATTATTGACATAGTTTAGAGGATTCTTCAGGTGACACATGGGACAAAAGGGAGTCGTCCACGTGGCGGATAAGCGCCATGTCACTTGCCATGGAGGTAGCACCCAGAATAGACAAATCAACAATTCTGTCGATCAGAGGGATAACGATTTCGCCTGCAATGCCCCAAAATAAAAACAATGATCTGCCTCATGATATTCAAAGGAAAAACATAAACTGACATAAGATTAGCCTTTCATTGATATCCTTTTACCATACAAAAGATGACATATGCATGTATACATTCATAAATTCTAGATCCTGAATCTATAGCGTATGACATGTGTGAGTGAACTGGGACAAAATAAAGTACTGTTAGGTTCCTTAGTCTTGTCAATCCTGCGAACAAACTTGTGTGATTGAGTTGTAAATTTCCTTACTGTTTTGTCTTGCTCGCTCGAGCGAAGGAGTCCTCGCTCGAGCGAAGACTGGGTCTGGCAAAAACCTGAGAGAGGTGAATGTACGCTCGAGCGCAGGTTGCGTGGCTCGAGCGAAGCCACTTATGGAAATCACGCGAGATAAGTTCCTCGCTCGAGCAACAGAAGCTTCGCTTGAGCGAGCTGCGCTGTTCCAAATTTCTATAAGTATTTGTTTTAATCCCAAACTAGGATTAGGTTTTTAAGATCTACTTTGAGGTTGTTTAAGGTTTTCTTCTGGAGTATTTTTGTGAGTTTTTCTTGATAATTTGAATGAGTATTAAACTCATGAATTGATAAGCACATATCAAGGAGGTTGATTAATTATATACAAGAGTGTTCTTCTTCGGTGGAATTCGGAGATTCAAACGTGGAGTTTCAAAGGAGTTTGATTCTGTACGTAGTCGTTAATTCGACAAGTGAAGTTGTGGATTCAACTTCAGAATAATCAATTCCGAGACAAAGGCTTGTTGAAAGAGTTACTGAAGGTTCGAAGACAATTGTATGAGTTTGGTAATTTATTTGTTATCTTTGTAATCTTTCTTTCTTCAGTAGTGGATTGATTAGTGGCGTTTTGCCCATGGTTTTTTATTACAATTGAAGGTACTTCAATTGTGGTTTTTCACGTAAAAATCGTTTGTGTCGATTTATTTTTTATTTCAAAAACAACAATGTAAATCACTTTTATAAGTGCTTGATGATTTAGATTGTGTATTTTGATTGATTGGGAATTAGAATATTTAAATCTTGATCTAATCACGAATCACTTAGGATTTTCAATTGGTATTAGAACAGGTCACTCTTTGTTTTT